ACCTACTTCTTGTACCACGATCGTTAGAGTGTACCTACATAGTAACATGTTATACATAGTTTATATAATAATAATATTATACTTTGATTTTTAAATATTAATGCTTCAATTGGATGAATTGGTCTTGCCGTTGATCAGGTTTAACTTCCCGGCGAAGTTTAATCATTGGATGAGCTTACTTGTTGTACTATATAATTATTAACTGTTATTATATATAATTCACGTTCGGTCAATATATCCAATGTACCGAGTACTTAATAAGTACCTATATTCAAATATAAAATATTGTGAAAAATTAAAAATTAAAATTACATTAAAAATGTAATCAATGTTAAGTAGGTACCTAAAACACATTTCTACTTACGGAGCAATATTATGTTTTAAGAAAAAAAAATTACATTGCATCAATATCCCAGTCTTAAATATAATAATGTAATGATTAGGTACAATGACCGATGGTTCGTTGTAATAGTTTATAAACAGAATATTAAGATCGTCGTCTTCGGGGCATACTATGTGTGTTAAGTATATTATATTATTTGCGTAATGACTTCAAATTGGTAGCCAATGATGTACCTACCTATATTATAATTACCTCGTGCAGAGACGAGAAATTCTGTCAGTTCACTCAGCTGTCGAAATGTTATTATACCACGGCATAAATTATTATTATTCAATATAATATTGTAGTTATTATTTAATTATTATAGTTTTTATGTCTTGGCTGCAGCCTGCAGGTCAAGTTATTATTTTATCGGATTGTACTAACTATACATTTTTCGAGTTGGCCGACTCTGCAGCTATCGAGTATTCGAGTTGTAATATATTATATAGGTAGGTATTTGATATTATTAAATCGTGTAAACATCTAGTGTGAAGCAATATTTTTCCCATGTATAATTTCGCGGTTGCTCAACATTTAATAACCTATATAATATAATATTATACCAATAACGGTACCAATACTGACTAATGACTATTATACGTACTCATATAATATAACTTTGAAAACGTTTTTAGTTATATTATATTATTATTATGTCTTAATCGTTTCGTAATGACACAAATTGACCTAACCCACAGACAGAAACGGCATTCGGGTCGTTAAGGTTTTTGAGAACGCAACTAATTTCGAATATTTACGCCTTGGTCTATCGATGTTATTGACACATTACACTTACAATACTTAGGCTAATACTTGGCTAATGTAAGTATATCTATTCTAAGACCAGGAAAAAATTAAAGAACACTCGTATAGTCTAGTATACGACCAAACCAAAAATTAAATAAAAAAAAAAACACAAGACGACGAGCAGGAAAAGAATCTCATACGACGTCGGCAGTATAATATTTATCACAGTAATAATACATTATAACAATATTGTAATAATTATTTTTACATTTCGTGGTCGTGACGAACGGGTTTTCGCCCGTTATGACTTATGACGTATATGTTGTACTCGTGGGGTACAACTCTGAACTCACGATCTCTCGTGTACAGTGCACGGTGTCGTTAAAAAATTTACGATATATATTCGACGATATATTTTTCGTGTCGTCATATTATACGATCGACGGGGACGTAAAAGTGTAACGCGTGCGTTCCTAAGAAAAATAAAGATTTCAAAAAAAAAAAAATCGTCGTCCGCAAAAAAATATAAGAAATTTCACCTACTCCGGTGAAAGTATTACGATACTCGGCACACACACAAGCACACACACAACACACACAACACACACACACAACACACACCTATAATAATAGCGTTTCGTGAACTCGCCGCCGTTCACGTCACATATCCCGGTTAAGGTCGTTGACCGTCTTTCTCTCGGGCGGCGCGGCGGCGGCGCGCAACCGATCCGAGCCGCGTTTGACCTCGTTTCGGGGGGAGCGAGAAGCCGCGGGTACCTATATAGGAAGGTGGAGGAATTATACGACGACGAGGAGGAGGAGGAAGAGGAGAATGAGAAGGAGGAGGAGGAAGAGAAGAATGAGAAGGAGAAGGAGAAGAAGTAGAAGAAGAAGTATAAGACGCGGAGAAGTAGAAGGAGAAGTAGAAGTCAAAGAGCGACGAGGGATAGAAGAGGGGGAGGAGGAGGAGCGGAAAAAAATACGCACAACCGGAACACAATACGCGAGCCACGTCATCGCGCACCGTTCGCGTAGGTACTATAACAATGTATATAATATTATGTACAGATATTATATATTATTATTATGTTACACATAATATCCTACACGGGACCGTTTTCGATCGGACGGAAACGACAATGTTCGTATTGTTGTTGTCGTCACATTACAATATATTGTATACCTACGCGCATTTGCATACCGAACACGAGACGACACCGTCTCGATGTCCCTAAACGTGTAATGTGCTGTTTACGACGACGTCGGCGCAACTGTCGTGGACCGGACCAGGTTACGGGTTACTGTTCGATCGCCGACGCGTGGTTTGAAATCGATTTTGAAATCATTTCGACATAATATTATTTTTGCTGCCAACTGTACCTAACACTATATGATCGTTATCGAGCAATGTATAATAATATTATAATATAATTATTATGTAGGTTATGACAAGACGTCTTTAATCGGTATATAATATTATAATCACATCGGATCAACGGTAAACGGTGGGTCGAATCCATTTCGAAGGTTCACTTATTATTAATCGTCACCAGCTCCAAACTCGACAAAATCGAGAACAGAAAATAATGTGGGTAATTGAATTTTTTTTCGACTATTGTATTCATATTGAAACTCACCAAAAATTGCAAAAACGCGTCATAATATTATTGTTTAGGCTTTGCACCAGAATCGACCCGAACCCTATGATACGCCTAAAAACTCTTTGAAAGATCAAACACCCAAAACCCATGACATAATCCGAATGATTTTTTTTTTCCAGAAACTCCCTAATTAATCGAAATTTGAATAAAACATTCCTCGGTTAACCCGAATAAACCTGAACATTTATTTTATTTTACGAATTTGTATAACAATTTATTTTAAAAAAATAATAATTTTTAAGAGGAATAATTGTATTAAATAGTTGTTAATTATTAAATGCAGTAATATAGGCAAGAATATGCTCAGTGAGTGGGGGTGCTAAGTTATTTTGATGTTTTCCGAAAACATTTCTTTCTTGGATAATGTACCTACGTGATGTATCTGATCACTCTTTCAATTTTTTTTGGGTCTTAATATTTGAAACCGAATATTAACTGATATTAACACCCAAACGTTTGTTTTAGTTTTTTATTCTGGTGTTTTAACACAAAAATACATCTATCCCCCAAAACTCAAAACCTGAATAGGCTTTTATTGTTGAAGATTGTCCTTTATTAATCTCCAATATTTGAGATGACGCCGTGGCAGTTTTTAAATCATATGAATAGTTACGGGGAAAAACGATAACAGTGAATATTCCCAAAATGTTCAGTATTGCAGTTTTAAAGTGGGACTCTGGCCTTTTTTTTCCCGTTATGGTAATATTTAAACCTGTATTATATCATTGACCGTGATCTTATCTCCATAACTCTGTTCACGTGTCGATTCGTTATAAAACTAACCAAAAGGTACTATAATTATTTTCTTTTTTCTTTTTTTTTTACTATGATCGTTTTCCCCCGTAACCCTTCATATATATTCTACACAATAATTTTTACAGTCGAGTCTCGATAACTGGAATCTTGAGGAGAACAAAAATTAATTTGTCTTGGGTTATATTGTTTGGTTTATATAAATCAATGACACAACTTAAAAACACTGCAAGGATCAAGAAATAAATTCGAGTTATCTCGACTCGACTGTATTATCATTCCCGACGAAATTATACCCAACGGTATAGGTTGGAAACGAGCCGCTTGAAATAAGACAGAAAATAATAATCGCCATTCGCTCGGACCGTATACGGCATTACCTGTATATTATCATCATCTTATAATACTACATATATATTATTATAAAGTGACCGCGAAATCGTATAATAAATCGTATGCATCGGTTATTTTAAATAGGTAACGCGTAATATAGTCCCTCGTAGATAATAAGATAATACCATACCTAACCTAACCAGTACTCTATCGTCACATATCGCACATTAGCATAATATGTATATGTATTTATAATATTATTATAATCGCGCTATTGGTCGTGTGTATCATCATCATCATCATCATCATCAATCATCATCGTCATCTCTATAATCATCTTCATCGTCGTCATCGATACGCAATTATTACAGTCGTAACTCGCTGAGGGACTATACGCGCGTCGTCGTCGTCATCATCGGATTTCGCGGACTAGATATCTACTACCGGGTCGTCGACCCGAGTTCGCCACTTTAGTTCGCATAATATTATAGATTATTATATTGTTGGTACTCACCGCAGACGGTTTTTTTTCTTCAATAATAATTTCTCTCTCTCTCTTCTTTACGTAAACGACGTTACGGAGAAAACGTCGTTCTCCCGCCCGGTCATCGACGCCTGAAGAAAGTCGGCCGTGAAAGTACGCGCGAAATATATAATACGATATTATACATTATCCGTGTCAGGCGTACACGGGAGACCTCGGTTCAAGTTCAAAGTCCTAAATCGTTATGGCATCGATTGTCGTCGTCGACGGTCGCCGCCGCCCGCACCGACACTAAACGGATCGAACCGTTTTACTGCGAAACAACACGCGACATCATGATAATGTATTATTATTGTTAATTATTATTGTTGCATTATTGAATATTGATTAAGCCGATTAAAGTATCAAATTAATAATTGTCTAGCGCAGCATTATCATAGATAATATTATTCATAAATTCATAATAATACTGTTGTAAACGTTTTAAATATATTATATTTAATCGTTCGTTTGATTTTAGTAATATTATAATGTTTTAAATTAATATTTTAAAATGGTATTTTCTAAAAATTATAAAAATTATCAATTAATCTATTTATTATAATATTATAATATTCTTTTTTTTCAGTCATCCAAAATGGACTTACCGAAAAGAAACAATGGAAATAAACGGTTTTCATACACAATTATATGTTTGGTGCTCTTCCTGGTAATAATGATGACGAAGGTATGAAATAAAATTTTTTTAGTATAATTAAGTAGGAAAAATAAATTTTAAAAATAAATATATCAACTAGTGTACTTAGGTAGTAAAAATAAGTTCCAACTAAAAAAAAAAAAATAATAATAATACAATTATTATTACTAAATATGTGTATTTTAAAATGTAAAGCTATAACTATTAACACCAAAAATATGCCCCAATAAAAAAGTTCATCCCAGAGAAAACATCCCATAAAGAAAAAAATCATCGAAAACCTCCCACATAATATTATTATAGGTATAATATACATAGTAATATATTAAAACATAATAATCGTCTATTTTGTTGAAAATATATAATACCTATCATAGTAAAATATTTTGCTTAGGTAGTGTAGGTGTATACGCTAACCGTTTCAATTTTAAAGTTTAGCTGGATATATCCACACGAACCGTGTATAGTCTTTCTATATCCCTACTTCAGCGGCCTACCGATTATTAGATTATTACCCAACGCGTCCTAACCAGTATTTTCGACGTGTTTCTCTATTTCGTTCTTAAACGCGTTTCATTGATAGAAAGCGACCGTGGTAACCGCGCAGCGTAATGCACCGATCTGATGCAATTGGACTAAAACAATAATATCTACGTTCCAGCAACAACAACAACAATAATATATATTAATTTCTTCACGTACCTTTTCTTATTCTTCAGAAGTACCTCTACTGGAAGGCTTCTCCACTCGGTTTTCCTTGTCATTATCTAATTTTTTTTCTTATCATCAAATAAGCTTATAATAGTTCAGTCTTCTAACAGATACCTTAATGATACATTTTGAGAAACACAAACATGTGAATGTACAACACCAATTTATTATACAACACGGACCTTATATGATAAGTTCTAGCACCTCGTCTCGAAAAGGTTTATGGTATATACACCACGTGGCCCGATATTTCATTCAAATAATTGTACTACTTATAATAATAATTGTATCAGCAGTTCCACCCCCCCCCCCCTGTGACTTAGTTAATTATTTTATATTACGAGTAATTAATATTTAAAAAAAAAAAAGCAATAAAATAATATTAACAATACGATAATATTAATTAACAGTTAATATTGAAAAAGTTATAAAGCATTTAACGACAGTCAATAATACAAATATAAAATGCACTTGAAGGACAGACTTTTTACAAAGGAGAAAACATTTTTTTTGCATATTATAATTTCCATGGTACTTTCTTACTATTATTTAACCCTTCTAGTTTCTACCCACATTTGGAATTTCGTCCAATCCTCTACTGCCGCATACGATATGACGTACAGCATCGCTTGGGATGTCTAATCAACACTTAATTTGTTTGCATATACATTGTTTAGATCGTGTCATATACATGTCAAGACCTAACAGGCAGCATTAGAAACAATGGCATTACCCAAACAGTCTTCTCGATACCCATAGATGATTTATGGCCGTGCCGTGGAAAGCCGAATTGCTACTACCAACAAAATTCGAAAAGCTGCACGAAAATGACTCAGTTGAGCATAAGATTAAGCATAACTAAACCGACTGGATTAAAACCGTAAGTATAACCACGTATCCAAGTCTGTTCACACTTATGTGCCTATAAAAACATATAATATGATACTGCGTCAACAATTAATATTCATAAATTTCGTGACGACCAAAATCGTTAGGACTGATATTGCGTATTGTAGACCTCTTATGCGGTTTTGTACTTTTATAATATAAGCTACTGTGGGTCCACTTTTACCTATGGCCTTGGGCGACCTCAAACAGTTTTCTAGGGGGGGGGAGGCATGGTAATTTTAAAAATAAATGGTGGTTTTTTTGATCAAGAAAATTCTTTAAAATTAATGTGTTATAATACCATCATATAATCTAAAATGTACAAATTATATATCATAATTTTATTATTTATTATGTTAATATAAATTTAAAATACATATTTGGGCAAACAAAAAATAACTTTTGTGGTGAGAGGGGGCAATTGCTTCGTCTAGCCCTTCTCCCCCATACTTCGGGACACCCGCTCCTATGCGGTTAAGTGTTTAAGTAAAATCTAATGTGTCTATGATTTCTCGAGAGCAGCAAAATGCAATAAAAAATTAAAGCGAGCAACAATAAGATTGTAGGTCTGCAGCTATATTTTAAGGATCTGCATAATATTGCACGCTCGTTCGAAAATTGTAGCTGTATTCAATGAAAACGAACAGATTGACAACTAGACAATAACGATCTCGTGCCTACCTATATATCCAGTCTGTATTATACTATAATATCATTATATATATTATTATTATGATAACCGTCACTTGGCGGGATTAATATTATGTGGGACAGAGTAGAAAGTAACGTCGAGTGTTAAATAAGTATTCTAGGCATATTATAATATTATTACTATAATGACACGAAAACATGAATAAAACGCATAATTTAAGCCACAGAGACTCGCTGCACTGTGCCAACCAACAATTCAGTGTCGTGGTGTCATTATTGTGATTTAAACCATATTATAATCGTCGAGTAAGTAAGGTGAAGTCCTACTTCAGTGTTTTCAGTTTTTCGGGTATAGGTTTAATTTTTTTATTTTAATCTGCTGACAATATCTAAACAATTAACCGTGTAGGACAAATGTACACAACAATAAAACTGTGGTCTCCAATTTTTTTTTTAATCAGAAATACTTTTTAGCATCAGATGATGCAATTGTTTGGATACGAGTTGTAGAGATGTAATGAAATTAAAGGGAGATGAATCACCGTTTGAAATTGTATTATGTTGTTTTACCACATAATTAGGTATATTGTACAAAGGAAAAAATAATTTTATTATGATTGAATTTGATTGAGAGTTTTTCACAATAAAAATCGGATATACATATAGAGTTTAGAGATCAGAGTCATGAACATCGTTCAGTGATTGCAGATTGGAAATCCCTAGCCCACAACCATAACATGGGTACATCGAGATAGTATGACAAATTTATGTGGTGACATTACAATAAGTTCAAATGTGCACAAACGAATACTACCTATACGGTTCAATAATGTCGTTGGTTAGGTTAGGTTAGGTTAGGTTAGGTTTTGATGGTGAGAAAAAAATAGAAGGGGGATGTAAAACTATCAAAGAATTTGAGTACCCAATTATTGATTTTTTTTTATTAGGATATAATTAGAAGTGGTATGGTAAAATATTTTTAAGGAAAGAAATAGTACTCGATCTCCCCGCACCCCCTCCAATATAAAAGCCCCGAGTCGATAATGCTTTCATCGATGAGGACTACATCAAGAAAGCATTGTCGACTATTATACTGGTGGGTGTTTTGTTATATTTTTTTCACATATAATTATTCATAATATTTGAAATATTATAAAACGACAGTAAATCATTAATTTATGATAATTTTCACAAGTTGTAAAAGACACGTTTTTATACTAAACTACTCAGTACTAATTGCGAAGCCAAAATCGACAAATCTATTATTATATAAAAACGATTTGCTAATGTAATAATGTCGTTGTATAAAATGTATCATTACGTTGATGTGGTTATTGAGAACCATGTCAGCCACGTTATAACGACTCATCGCTATATTATTATTGTCGTCAGTTTTAGTTTTTGGGGAGCTCATTTTGAGACCGTACAAAATTAATGTTTGAAAAGTTTCGTTCAGCGTTTATATAGAAATCAATAATGGTGAATTTTATTTTAAAATCTGAGAATTGTTATTTTGCTTTAGGCATTTAAAGGCCGTTTTCAAAAACAAGTAATAAAAAACGAAACACAGCTAAACGTGCAATTTTATGATCATAATATTGCATTATTGTTTTCACGCCATGAAATGAATATTAACCGTTTCGGAGGAGATGGTTTTAGCTACTGACTTTTGTTTTTTTCGATCGAGATGATGACATTTTATCATTACTGTATTCAAAACGTATTATGATAACAATACACAACACTGGCTTGTCCATGATTATCAATAGTTTTTTATTATGTTTATTATATAAAAAGAATATACAATATTGAGTGCAAGGTTTATTATATAGGCAACATACAATTATTTAACGTAATTTGTGTAGTGTTCAGAATATAATACATACTCATTGAATCATTTTTACGATAATAAAACAAATAATATTAAAACATAGATACCCGTTGACCGCCATTTTTTATTAATTGATTTTTACTAATAGCAATATTATTATAATATAAAATATTTTAGGCTGACACACGGCACCGTCACCTCTCAGAATCGTTTCTTTTATAGAATGATAATATTATAATAATATAATCGAATTAAAATTGAACATATCCATTACACTATAGTTGCGTAGGGTTGTAAGGTACTTACGATTTCCTTCTGGGGGTTGATATCTTAATAAAAAAAATCACCGCATCACATGGACATTTAGCAGTCTCCCCTAGGTTCCTTTATTCGTTAACATTTATGTAAGATACACTCATACAGGAACCCACAAAACAAAAATTCGGGGGAGGGGGTGCTCCCCTCCACCAGCACTTATATATAGGCTATATTTTTAATTAAAACCTGTCATGGCTTTCAACCAGATGTTTGGTACTTGTGTTACAATTTTTAATTTTGAAATTCTTTATTTGCTTTATTATATTGCACAAAATAATATTCAATCTTCAGTTTTTGTAGGCTATTTCTTCCAACACTTCTTCTAATCAACGTAGATATTTCGATGTACCTATGATTAGTATTACTAAACCAAATTCTAAATTCAAAAGAATAAAACTAACCTAACTTAGTGATAACAAATATAAACTATAGTGGTATGAGCTTTGTATTCTAACGAAAGTTAAGGAGTGGAATGTACATGTCGTCTACGAACCTCTAAAAGTCAACACTGAAATTGAATTAAAAATATAAAAGAAAAAATCTCAGGTGGCGGTGGGTGTAATATTATAACATCCAAATCAACCCCTGTAAATACGAAACTGCATTACGTGACTTACTCGGCACTTTGTATTTATAGTTATGGTAAATAACAAGTTTAAATAGAGTTACTTATCCAAATAATCTTACTGATGATAATTATATAGGTACCTACGCGATACGCACACAAAACTATCAGATTTTGTGGGAAAAGGCGAAGGAGACTTTAATTAATTAAAACGGAAAGAAGTGGATTTTCGGAACTGTTCTTTTGCCAACTATTTGAAATGATGATACAAATTAGTTAATTACACAATCAAAACTATAGTATACGGTGTGCTTATTGGGTCACTTAAAACCGAAGTTGGCATACAGATTTGTAGGAGACAATAATATTATTATCAGTTATTACGTCAGAATATCTGGTGTGGTATGTACAAGTGTAGCAAAAACAATTATGTAAAAATATTTTTAAAATGTACCTATTTGACTAATATTCAAGATACACCTGAAAAAAAGTATTTAAAATATTACTAATATACTTTTTTATATGTATTTGAACCGAATTTTGATTACTATTTTTTTAAGTTATTATAATATAATACCTATACATATTTTTCCTTTATTTTTGAATCAGTAAAAAACGTATTTAGTTGTAATTGACAATCAAATTTAAATTATTCACTAAATAGGTAATAGGTAAAAGTAGTTGTAGTAGGTAGTAGTAGTTAAACGTAATTATGAATTGTAATTTGTAATACTGTACAGTATACACATTAGATATAGGCTGTAGGTTGTAGAATCTTGAAACTTGTTAGTTTTTACACTTTTCTATTTATTATTTGTTATCTACAGTAACTTATTACCTATACTCGACAAAGTATTTGAATACCAATACCGAAATACTTTTACTGAAATAATTTACAACACTGAGCACAAAGAATTATAGGTAGTAAGATTTTGATATGATTGTAGACACGTACCAAACAGGAAAACCGTTTGTAGTGGTTATAATAATAATAATATTACTATTGGCAGTAAAATAATCTTTCAGGCAACGTATCATTATAATAGTATTATGCGTTATTGTCTTTACAGGCCGCCATTGGTCGCCACCTTGAGTGCAGCGATGAAGAAAAACAAATATGGATTGTTTAAGGATCCTTACAACACTATGGACCAAAACAAACCATTGCAGTTGGTATTATGTGATGAGCGCTTGAATATGCTAGAATGGGTAAGATGTTATTTTTCCCTATACTATCATAGAGCAAACTTAACGGTTTTATAATGTATAAATAACTACTTTACCCACACTTACATATCCAGGGAAATTTTTATTTAAGACTTATATAATCTCGTGATCAGTGTGCATTCCGACACCCGAGGAACAGTGAAGCGTTTTTCGATGACGATTACAATCATTATTATGCTAATTGTCACGAATACGAGTTAAATGCATTAAGTTTAATACCTACTATTATGTTTTTCATACACATAATTAGTGATTCATTCAAAACTGACTAATGGCTATATATAAAACGCATGATTAATAAATTACTAATTTTATTACCTGTGCTCGATTTAGGTGATCCAATCGATTTTCAAGCATTTTAGAGTCGGAACGCACGATTTTCTTTTAATAATAATTATATATTATATATTATCGATTTTCTTTTAATAATTATTATGTATTATTATAATATCGTCGACTTCTCGGAAAAAGGCTCCAAAATATTTGAGCTTTCTCCGGTATGCTTAAATATCGTGTGTCGAACTCGACTGCACAATCCAACACTGTACCGTTATAGTAATATTATATTGTCGAAAACTTAAAATGTGAACTGGTTGTAATTAAAAGCCGCTACATTGGATTTAAACTTAAACAATATAGTATGTGCAAAAACTGCGCAATGCAATGCCATAGCGTTAATCAAGCACTTTTGACCAGTGTGGCGTGTGACGATATTGAAAACAATAATGAGATAGCGCTTATCAAACACGACGGACGCCCAACTTAAACATATTATTCACGATTAATCGTGGCATGATATGACCTAAGTACAACTACTCGTCAAGTCGAGTAGCTCTTCAAGTCTAGTAAATCGTCAAAAGATTCTATTTACGCGAACGCCCGTTGACACGCCCTTATGACTTTAAGTCGTAAAGTTCACGAACGGTTAACTCCGAACACACATTGTGTTGTCCGTTGATTGTACGTATAATATTATAGGGCACCCACCAAATACGTGAACTTTTAATATTATCATTGACGGTTTTTCACAAGACCAAACTACGAGCTGCCGCTTCGCATGTACTTGAATACATTGACACCGTTGAGAAATATAAATAATTGTAATATTGTTCACAATATGTAAATTAATTGCCATGAACCAATGTCAGAACGATTCCGTTCGCTTTGTGTGGACGATAAACTATAATATAATATCTCATGATGTTCTATTTATGTCTATTCACTACAAAGTAGCATGACAAAGACCTAGAAAAAAAAAAAATCCAACAAAAGTTCATAACTTTTAAGGATTTTTTTCTCCAGTCAAAACAACGTCTTCCTGATATTACTTCGGTGTAGCCCACAGTAAAGGGTGAAATGTTTTTTTAAGAAAAATGTTCTTCAACGAAAAGTCTGGGCCGTTTTTATTTCAACAGAGCACGGTCAACTGATCCGGACAGTCAGTCCTGTGGATCGCCGTCCAGTAGTATTTTATACGTGTTTATTTTTTTGCATTTGTCGCCTTTGCGCTGCCGACACCAACCACCAAGGCTACAGCAGGAAGACCAGAAACGCCACTGATGAGGGTTCAAAATTAAATAGACACGTCGAGACGCGTCTGGCTGGTTGTAATGCCTTGAGCCGAAAAGTACCATGATCAGGGTTAGGGGACATCTTTTTAATTTCTAATGTGTACCAGTCCTAAAAACCATTGCGCATAATGGCTTATACTTGGATACATTTTTTTTTTTGAAAATCTTCTTAATACAACTTTTAATAAAAATGAGAAAATTAAAACCATAAATACAAGAAATTACAACTTACTGTATAATAGACTCGAAATACCATACTTCTATGGAAGTATATTAAACTTGCCATTTGAAAAAGTAAAAATTAAATTATTGAAATGAGGCTAGTTATAACAAGTAATAAACACCATACGAAAAAAGTGTGAATTCTAATTTATTATTGTTTTTAGTTCCTTCTAATTATTGATTAAAATGTCTTAAATTTTAACTAAAATGCAGAACAGTTAAAAAAGCATGGCTGGGCAATTTAACTCTTTTTTTAAACTTGTTAAGTTAAGTTAACATAGGAAAATATAAGTTAGGTTTAAAGTTAAATTTACTTTTTTTTTAAGCTTGTAAAAGTATTTAAAAAAGAAAATATAAGTAACTTATTAGTTAAAAATCAGATACTTTTTTCATATAAAATAAAAACATATAACTGTTTTAAAGGTAGTAATTTATTAATGGTCATACATATTTAAATAAACGTATGTACTAAAATCAATCGGTATAAGTAAATAATACTCTAATCAATGACGAAATCCGACAAAATAATTATTTTTATTTAATTGTTTACCTTACCTACACATATAATATTATCAAATACTATTCAATTTAATTTAGTTGTAATTCATTGAATGAATACAAACATAATAATAAGTTATAACTATCAATTAATTATGATTAAAAACTAAAAAGTACCTATACAAACGTGTATGGGATACTGAGTTAATAGTATATAACAAATAATATAATATATATTATTATTTTCTCGATGACGCGATTACCCTTATAACTTTTTTGTTTATAATATAAAAATATTTTCTATGTAAGGTAGGAGTTGCTTCTAAAAAAAAGTAACACATTATATAACTTAGTAAGTAACTAAAATGTTTAACTTATTAATGCCCAGCCTTGTAAAAAATCATGCAAAACTTAAAGTTAGAACTCGTATATAACTTGAACATAATTTTATATTAAGTTTTCACATTTAATGTTTGTGATTCATACATTGAATTATTTTGAACCTTGCTCTACCTAGATTTTACAATAAAGTTAATCAAAAATAATGTGTAAATTCTATTATGACCCGAACACTGATCATGGTATGAAGTCCTTTTTTGAAACTCTCAAGTGGATGCTGCAAGAAGAGGAGCCAAAAAACGAACGATGAAGTATAAATGGTGTTACGATCAGGTGTGCTTTTTATTTTTATTTTTATTTTTTATTGTTTTCACAGAAGACGGAAAAATGACATATCAAAATCTCACACCAGTTCTGCTGTGTCAACAAGGTTTAACAATAATAATTATAATAGTAATAATAATATAGGGAGATCCCTTTGGAAGGATTTTCGCAACAACTCACCTCTAGCCCCGGTCGAAAAATTAGTTTTTATTTTTTGAATGAGAATTACTCCCACATCGGCCACATCATGACATAACGACGTATTCGATTTGAACTGTAGTTTTCCATTCTGAAGTTTTACCTACGTAAATTCGTCCTAGTTAAAGTCATGTGGAATTTGACTCTATAATGTTAAATCAAATATAATACATGAAAATATCATATTTAAATTTTATATTTCAAATGTAATAATAATATATTGTTGATAAAAAATCAAATGAGAACAGAATTTAATATTCTTTATGAAAAGGTTCCTCGCTAAGGGTATTATTTAAGGGGCAATAAATAGGCAATTTATAATGTTGTTTTAACCTCCCGGGATCTATGTGTTAATTGTAATTAATGATTATTAGTGTGAGCGAAATTCAATGCAGTTAGCACTCCATACATGCATATTGCATACACATATCAATAACTGGATGACAATATAAAATTCACAATATGAATTTTACGACAACTGACTTATTGTTTTGATAAAATTAAAGTTACTTAACGTTGTCTGATTTTGATTCTGAAAAAAATATTTTAATTCAGCAGTAAAATGTCTGTAGATTGTACGAAACACTTTCTGTTTTTAATTTTAATTAGGATTTGAAAAAAATGATATTTTCAAGTCTTCAATTACAGTTCACTATATATAAGATTTAAACTATTATAAAGTGTTCAGTTCTCTCTATTGACAATTTTCTGTCGAGTTAAAATTTTTTTCCATCATAAAAATCGAACAACGTAAATTGACTATAATTTTGTCAAAACTTAAGGTCTTTTGTACTGAAATTGACGGTAGTAACGAGGCCTTTTAACTAAAGGGTTGAGTAATATTATTTAGATTTATTTCCATAGTCACTTTTTATTTATTTATAAGCCGTATAATAGTTTAAGAATTTAAGACTAGGTATAATTTATTTTACGAATAAGTATTAAAGTTCCTTTAAAAAATTTAAATGTTTGTATTTAATACCTTAAACAATACTAAAATAAAGTAATAATTTAAATCACTGTCAGACCAATGGCCACAGCTGCCGAGGTTTTATTTCTTTAATAAAAAAAAAAATCTAAAATTACTGATTTAAAGACTTAATATTCATGTTTTAACTTCTTTTCATCAATGCTGACACTTTAATTTAAATTCATTGATTTAAATGTTAATCTACTAATGTTTAAATTATTCTTATTGATTGCATTTCCGTTACTGGTACGTAGGTACTTATTTCTAAATTTTAATTTATACCTACAATAATGATTCAATTACTGTCTATGCTAATTTTTGTCTGGATTAGGTTACTCTACTATATCAAGAGCTTATGAGAATGACAGTAACATTTTGCATTAAAAATGGTTTTTTTCAATAATTAGTGATTAGTGATTTTTCCAATTAGTGTTCTTGTTTTCATGGTTTTATTGATATTCGATAGATATGCTTAAAAAAGTTACAAGTGTGAACTACTCGATATTTTTCCTCTACACGAAAAATGTATGAACCCTAAATATGTTTTTAATCACGACAATGCAAAATCTGTCAGAAGTAAAAAATGTGTATCCAGGCTACCATATTTATTAAAAAAAAAATTTATTTAATATTGTCGTCTGTTTACACCGGAGTTGTTGCAGTTAGCGAATCCTAACCAAGGGAAATCCCTATTTACAATACCAATTAACTATGAGTGGTGTTGTTGTTTTAAAGACTTGACTGGAATCTACTATAATATCGATGGACAAAACGTGTACAGAAGCTAGATGATGAAATATTTATTTGCCTATCTACATTAATTAAGACTTTTCGTTTCCAAATTCGTCGATTGCAACGATTGTCCTCAAAACGAGGACATGCGAGTTATATACATTTTATAACACCACATTTTA